AGGAATGGGCAAAGGCCGGTCTAGATCCAGAGGACGCTAGTTCTACCATCGAGAGGTTATTAGAGTCGGGCTTGCGATTTGAAAGGGCCAGGAACTTCTCTACATTGGAGGTGAAGAGAAGGGAACACCCATATGAGGACGAGACGCCTGGCCAGAGCGGAAGCTCGGATAGCGCGGATAGCGAAGAATATGCTTCACCTCTGGAAGAGAATGACGAAGTGTCTAGCCAGAGCAAAAGCGAGGTTAGCATGTCGACTCTAGAAGAGAATGGTGAGATACCGATCCAGAGCGAAAGCGAAAGCGAAGATTACGAGGATTATGCGTCGTCTCGGGAAGAGAATGACGAGCCTTTTAGCAGTGAAGAGGTCGATAATCCTGAAAGAAAGAGGCCGTCAGCAGGAGGGCGCATGCACAGTCGTGCTGCACTTACCAAAGAGAAGATGTCTCGGCTGCTGGAAGAACGACGATGTTTTGAATGCGAAGAAGAGGGTCATATGGCACGAAACTGCCCGCTTCGTCGAGAAGCTTCACCCTCGAGGAGAGATACTCACGTATTGTACAGTGGGCTGGTCAGCATGGGTAGAGCCCCAAGGCCGAGGACGGTGTACGGTCCCAGAACCTCTTTAGGCCCTCATCTATACATTCCTGCACCTCCTGACGACTGCCCAGTGGCTGGCTTTAGCCAGCCACCTTTCCTCTCATCGCTCCCCATATATCGCGAACCTCTGGGACTCTCCCAATTCCTTTCTAACTTAGTTTCGACCATATATACACACTCTCCGCCCCCCTCTGTCATCTTCTTCACCCTTCCCCATCTGCCAGCCTCCCAGTCCCTATTTCCGCGACCAGTCGATCTAAACCCCCGTACTCTCTTCCTACCTTTTCGTATTACTCTTCAGAACATTCTACCACCTTCTCTCGCATTCCCCATCCCTCCAGAGCGGCCGCAGTCTGCCATCCTCCTGACAGATGCACAGTCAGGTACCCCCTGACTGCGCAGCAGGCGCGGCGGCTCCGCGCTGACTCTTATATACAATTCCACATCATTCTCTAAGGTTCTCCGCATTGATCTCGCCTCTCCTTTAGTTAGATTTCGATGTATCTTACCTAGTTTCTCATTGAAGTCCTTCCCCATCTTAGTTTCGCGCCGTTAGCCAGCTGAATCTGGCACTGAGTCTCCTCTGAAGTCTATACGAACCCTTACAAACAGTTTCCTAGTCCATCCGAACCTTCCAGATCCCCCAAGTCCGAACCCAGGCCCTTCCTAGGCCTTTCCACACTCATTATCACACCTCAGAACCGCATACCATTCCCCACCGAGCACCAAACACACCTACCGACCTCATATCTCTTTTGAGTCGGCCTCCTACAACGGGCCCACCGAGTGTACATCTGCATATGATGCAGCCTCTAAGTGACGGAGGAGCAATTCGTTGGAGTGCACGAGCACGCGCAGACTCTACGAGGGTAAAGCGACCTAGTAGCGGGAGAGGAAGACGTCGAAAACCAGTGACTGACGCCGTCCTATACCCTGAGGTTGCATCCACCAAGAAAGCTGCTCATGTAGCTCGCCTACAGCCATCAAGAGAAAAGGGCCGGTCGCCCTGCCCATCGATTCGTCTGGACAGACGATCGCGAAAGCAAGCAAGTTCAACAGGGAGGACACCGAAGAAACGACAGGACTATTTCAAGACGTCTAGAAATTAAGCAGGCTATGTGCTTAACTCTTGTACAACGTCATATCGGTCACTGGCTTGGTTACTTACCCCCCG